CCAGTGAGCGGCCGGTCTGTATGTGGGATCCGAACCCTCGGCGGGAGTGCCGCCACGCTTCCCAAGCGGCGCACTGAAGCAGTGCGCCACTGGGCCGGCCAAGGTGAATCATTTTACTTAGCATATTATTCTCAAGATTCATCCATGTGTTAACATTGATCAGAACTGCATTATTATTTATTTATTTTTTTAAAAGATGACCGGTAAGGGGATCTTAACCCTTGACTTGGTGTTGTCAGCACCACGCTCAGCTAGTGATCAAACCGGCCATCCCTATATATGGGATCTGAACCTGGGGCCTTGGTGTTATCAGCATCGCACTTTCCCGAGTGAGCCACGGGCTGTCTATTTTTAAGACAATACTATTCCATTGTATGTATATACTGTACCTGTTTATCCATTCACTGTCAATGGACCTTGGGCCGTTTCTACCTTTCAGCCATTATGAACAGTGCTCGGCTGTCTATTTTTAAGACAATACTATTCCATTGTATGTATATACTGTACCTGTCTATCCATTCACTGTCAATGGACCTTGGGCCGTTTCTACCTTTCAGCCATTATGAACAGTGCTGCTATGAACATCGGCATGCAAGTGTCTGAGTGCCTGCTTTTGATTCCTTCAGGCATATACAGGGCGCTTCAAAAAGCTCATGGAAAGGGCTGGCCCGTGGCTCACTTGGGGGAGTGTGGTGCTGACAACACCAAGCCAAAGGTTAAGATCCTGTTACCAGTCATCTTTTTTTTTAAAAAAAGCTCATGGAAAGATTCACGTTATCTTTTAATTCTACCTTTCCGAGAACTTTTTTTTTGGTGGTTGGCTGCTATGGGGATCTGAACACTTGACCTTGGTGTTATAATGCTGCACTGTAACCAAATGAGCTAACGGGCCAGCCCCAGAATTTCTTTTAATAAAAAAAAATTGTTATTTACTTAGAAGGTTTCAGAATGTCAACAGTACAGCTGCAATTCCCCCTCCCCTCTCCAATATAGATTGGTATTCAGTTAACAGACTATGATTATTTTATATTGGCTACACCACAGACAACTGAAAATGAAAAATCGACCATCCCCACATATAACTAATTTGTGCTGCGCACCAGTGAGAGCTTCCTTTAAATTTCCATGCCAATTAATTTATAGCCCCTGTAGTGTACCTGGCAAGGCTGCAGGCTACTGAAAATACCACCAGGACAGGGCTACCTAAAGACACATTTGGTAGTGCGTTAACTATACAAAAAGACACTGTACAGTTTAAAAACAAATCTTAAACACAACCTTACATTTCAATTGTTTTCTTTGAAAGAAGTAAGTTGTGTACAGAGGATTAAATGCTTTATAGACAAAGATCAAACAAACAGCTTATTCACCACCATCATCTTCCTCTTCCTCCCTGCCTTCCTTCTTTTTCTTGCTTTTTTTAGCCTCGACAACTCCCTTTTTTGCTGCATTGGGCTTTCCTTTAGCTTGGTGCTCAGCAATATCCTTTTCATATTTTTGCTTCAGCTTAGCAGCCTTCTTTTCATAAGGCTGCTTGTCCTCTGCAGCAGTGTTAGTGTTCCACATCTCTC